TGTGAGACTCTTCGGGCACTGAGCACCCCAATCGGAGCTGAGAATCCTCTCAAGAAGCCTCCGTCAGCCGCACGATTCATCATTTTGCTCAGAGCATCCATGTTATAACGATTAGGGATATACATGTTAAAAGATATAACGATTAGGGATATAGAGATTATGATTAAATGTTTGTAATATAAGTACTCACTCCATTTATCTTTGGATAAGAACTTACGTTTTTAACAATTAAACACTTTCCAATAAATTTATTCATAAAAATTTATGGTGTCAATCAATAACATGTAGAACAAAAAAGGAGAAGTGCATCCCTGTTAAATAGATACCGAATGATCCACATCTGTTCAACAAATCTCAAACACATAAGCAATCCATAGATTACTCTTTCACTAAGAGCTATGCCATTTCAGCAAACTCAAGATCAATCATTTCTTAAGCTAATGATTCTGCTTATTTCAAGTTATCTTGGAAGTACACGCGCGCGCAGGGAGAGAGGCCACAACAGAACGTGAAATTCTTGTACAGTGATATGTAAGGGTTGTTTGTACTTCAGCCATCACGATGAGCTCATAAATTGCAATGCATTTTAATTTTTGTAGAATTTAGTACAATCATTCACAAATTGACACACTTTTTCAGATATATCTTATACACTGCAGTACAAGAAGTTTATTTAATATGTCTCACTAAAGCATAGTATACATTACAGAATATATTGAGTAAATACATTACAGTATACTCCCTACGTTTCAATTTAGACGAGTTAGTTTGACTCGGCACGGAGTTAACTTGTGATCTTAAAAGCTTAAGGTGTAAAAGATTTGTAGGGTCATCACATTTGTGTGATTATAAAAAATTCTAATTTAAGGGTAAAATGGATAAAATGAAGGTTTAAAGTTGAATTATTTACAAATTTAGAAATATGTCCATTTATTTTAGAACAGATTAAAAAGTAAAGTATATCGTCTAATTTGAAACACGGAGCGAGTATTTCTTATCATAAAAATGGTTTCTTTGAAAATAAAAAAGGGAAAATCCAATCATTTCATAACGTAGATGCAATTAAATTTTTTTCTGTTTTTTGTTCCTTTACCTTCTCCTTTGAGCTTATTCCAAGCTGATTCAAGTCCACTAGTGAGCTGTCCAAACATCTCAGCTCTAATAACTCCACGCATTTCTCTTCTTGAAATAACCACATTCCTTGAATTGATCACCCTCCATGTATCCCTCTACACAAAAAAATTGAATCTTTTTTTTAAAAAAAGCAAAAAGGAAGAAAAAAAAAACGAAAGTAACAAAAACTGAAAAGGGTGTTACAGTGAATGAGTTTCTTGAAGAAAATGAAAGAGAATGAGTTGAACCAGTCCCAGAAAATGGAAGTTTAGAAGTTGAGAGGGTGGCTTTGGAAAGTGGAAAGAAATGGTGGGAAGACATAGTTGAGGAGAAAGAAGCAGTGGCTTCCATTGAGAAATTGAGGATTGAAGATTGAAGATTTCTTCTCTTCTTTTTGTTATTCTTTACACGGTTGGTTTATCCATTAGAACAAGTGTTATCTATTGGTCTATCGATTAGTAGCTACTATTGTACTACTATTCAAGTTGCAGTGTTGTGTGCATCGCGGACTACCCTAGTATCCTACTCCACCAATTGCTTGTTGTGAGGTTAATAAGGGGAAAACACTTTAATACTGTAGTAAACAATTTCGTTTTCAGCAGGGGAGAATCCAGGATTATGATATCCGATATCTTAATTCAATAATTTTGGCATAGAATATAAATTTATGTTTGAAAATTCATCAAAATTACATAAATATCAGATATGAACTCATAACTTTAAAAAAATATAATGAGTTCAATTAAAAAATATAATAAGTTTGAATCCGAGACTTTGGTTAATGGTGAAAAGTTACCATCCACTTATTTTGCTATCTTTTCTTTTTAGATAATAGCTCACCACATTTAACTTTCATTTAATTAATTAAAATGTGTCTCTTTAGTTCCTTTATATAGGAAATGTATTATATTTGGACTGTATGTAGAACTATATTACCTTTAAATATAGAGTAATAATGCGACATAGCAAAATGATCAAGCTACTATAAAATGCATAAAACCAAGTAATCACCCTTTGTCTGAATAATGACCAGACACCTCCACAAAAATACCAGATTCTTGTCACGTTTCAATACTAACATAACCACCATTATCACCAAATCCGCGAGCTTCACTACTATTACTACTACTACTACCCCATGGAATACGCAGTTGAGAGATCTCTCAAAACATGGTCAATACTACAACGCACTTATTCTTTACCGTCAAATGCTCCAATTTGGAGCTACCCCAAATGCTTTCACTTTCCCTTTTATTCTCAAATCTTCAGCTTCTCTTTCCCTTCCCACCACTGGAAAACAACTCCATTGCCATGTCATAAAGCTCGGATGCAAATCTGAGCCTTTTGTTTTAACTGCTTTGATGTGTATGTACTGTAAATGCAAGTTAACTGAACATGCACAGAAAGTGTTTGATGAAATTCCTCATAGAAATCTTACTGTTTGTTACAATGCTTTGATATCTGGGTATGTTCAGAATGATAAGTTCTTAAATGGGTTTTGTTTGTTTAGTGAAATGAGGCTGCGAGGAGTGGAATTCAACGCGGTTACAATTTTAGGATTGGTTCCAGGCTGTACTGTTCCGGAGCATCTGTGGTTGGGAATGTGCTTGCATTGTTTGAACGTTAAGTGTGGATTGGAGAATGATTTAGCTATTGCAAACTGCTTGATTACAATGTACGTGCGTTGTGGTTTAATGGAGCTAGCGAGGAGGTTGTTTGATCACATTCCAGAAAAGGGGTTGATCACTTGGAATGCAATGATTTCTGGTTATGCGCAAAATGGGTTGGCTGCTGAAGTTTTGGAGCTTTATCGTGAGATGGAATTGTTGCAAGTGGATCCTGATGCGGTTACATTTGTTGGGGTTCTCTCAGCTTGTGCTAATCTTGGTGCTCAAAAGATTGGTTTTGAGGTGGAACAGAAAATAAGGTCTAATTGTATGTGGTTTAATATATTCTTGAAGAATGCTCTAATAAATATGTATGCTAGATGTGGTAATTTGGCGAAAGCTCGGATTATATTTGACGAGATGCCAGAAAAAACCTTGGTGTCCTGGACAGCAATAATAGGCGGCTACGGAATGCATGGTCTTGGAAACACGGCTGTGGAGCTTTTTGATAAGATGATCAAGACTGGCATTCAACCTGATGGTACAGTTTTTGTTAGTGTTCTGTCTGCATGTAGTCATGCAGGGTTGACTAAAAAGGGCTTAAATTATTTAGATCTAATGAAGAGGGAGTATGGATTGAAGCCAGGTACAGAGCACTACTCTTGTGTTGTGGATCTATTAGGTCGTGCTGGTCGACTTGAGGAAGCTCGCAAACTTATTGAATCGATGGAAGTTGAACCCGATGGTGCCGTGTGGGGTGCCCTTTTGGGTGCTTGCAAGATCCACAAAAAAGTTGAACTTGCAGAATTAGCGTTTAACAAGGTTGTTGAGCTTGAGCCCACAAACATAGGGTATTACGTGCTACTTTCCAACATCTACACAGAGGCAAATGATTCAGAAGGTATATTAAGAGTCCGATTGATGATGAGAGAACGAAAGCTTAAAAAAGATCCAGGTTATAGCTATTTTGAGTGTAAAGGGAAAACCCACCTCTTTGTGGCTGGTGATATAGGTCATCCTCAAACAAAAGATATATACAAAATGTTAAATAGATTGGAGGATACTGTAAATGAGCATGGAAGAGCAGACAAAAATGGTCAAGAGGTAATAAATCAAGAACCTCCTAATATTATGAGTGTGCATAGTGAACGTTTGGCAATAGCATTTGCTCTCTTGAACACTGAAATAGGGACTGACATTCTTGTTATAAAGAACTTGAGAATATGCGGTGATTGTCACTCATTTGTGAAGCGGGTTAGCAAAACTGTGGATCGTTTATTTGTGGTCAGAGATGCCACCCGTTTCCACCATTTCAGAAATGGTACATGTTCTTGTAATGATTACTGGTGACTTTTGAGACTGGACAAATGATAACAAGGACTGAGCAGTGAAGACAGAGATGGAACAGGATGAAGTATGCTCTCCAAATCTAGAAGCCAGAGGCAGTTCGCTGCAACTTTGCAAGGGATCATAATATGTGTCAAAGGTTTAATCTTCCGACTTGACGTATTTTGTCCATATATAAGAAAGTGCATGCTTAGATCAAAGTAGTTGAAAAGTTGAGTGACCATGAGATACGAATTGTCATTACAGATGAAAGAGGATATAGGTTGGTTCCTTGCTGCTGGGCCTTAGAGCTACTGCCATCATTAATACAAGTCTCTCAGTTGCTTGACTATATCCTGTTTCAAAAATTTTCATCACAATAAAATAAGTGCAAACAAGGGACCAGCTTTTGAGAACAGATGCATTTGGATGTTTGATGGAGGCATCTCTTGCTTCCTTGAGCACAAGTTTGAC